TTTTAAGAAATTGATAAAAGAAACTGAAGAAGACACAAATAGAAAGGTATTCTATGCACATGGATTGGAAGAACTGTTAAAATGTTGTTGTTAAAAGTCCGTACTACCCAAACCTACAGATTCAATGCAATGCCTTTCAAAATTCCAATGGCATTTTTCACAGAAATAGAACAAACATTCCTAAAAATTGTACGGAGCCACAAAAGAACCTGAAGAGCCAAAGCAATCCTGAGAAACAAGAACAAAATTGGAGGTAACACAATCCTTGATTTCAAACTACACTATAAAGCAACAGTAATCAAAACATGGCATGTTTTGGGATGTATGGCACCAGCATAAAAAAGAGACACATGGATCAATGGTACAGAATAGAAAGCCCAGAAATAAACACCTACATAAATGGTCACTTAATTTACAACAAAGGAGGCAAGACTATACAATGGGGGAAGGACATTCTCTTCAATAAATGGTGCAGGGAAAACTGGACGGCCATATGCAGTGGATGAAATAAGACCACTAATTTACACCATATACAAAAATAACTCAAAATGGATTAAAGACTTGAATGGAAAACTTGAAACCAAAAAACTAGAAGAAGACATTGGCAATAAGCTCACTGACATCAGGTTTGATGATGAGTTTTTAGATCTGACTCCAAAGGCAAGGGCAAGAAAAGCAAAAATAAACAAGTGGGACTCTATCAAACTAAAAAGCTTCTGCACAGCAATGGAAACCATCAACAATATGAAAAGGCAACCTCCTAATGGGAGAAGATATCTGCAAATCATATATCTGAAAAGGGTTAATACCAAAAATATATAAAGAGTTCATACAACCCTAAAATAAAAACAGTCTGACAGAAAAATAGGCAGAGGATCAGAATATTTTTCCAAAAAAGACATGCCGATGGCCATGAGGCACATAAAAATATGTTCACCAACTCTCATCAGGGAAATGCAAATGAAAACCACAATGAGGTATCACCTCACAACTGTTAGAATGGCCATCACCAAAAAGGCAAGAAATAACAAGTATTGGCAAGGATATGGAGGAAGGGGACCCCTTGTGCACTGTTGGTCAAAATATAAACTAGTGTAGCCACTATGGAAAACAGTATGGAGGTTCCTGAAAAATGTAAACATAGAACTACCATGTAATTAGCCATTCAACTACTGGTATTTATCTGAAGAAAACAAAACACTAATTTAAAAGATATATGCACCCCTTGTTCACTGAAGCATTATTTACACTAGCCAAAATATGGAAACAACCTAAGTGTTCATCAATGGATGAATGAATAAAGAGGTTATACACACACACACACACACACACACACACACACACACAGGAATACAATCACTCATATAAAAGAATGAAACCTTGCCATTTGTGATACATGGATGAACCTTGAGGGCATTATGCTAGGTCAGACAGAGAAAGGCAAATACTGTATGATCCCACTTATAAGTGGAATCTAAAAACTGAAACAAATGAACATGTAAAACAAAACTGATAAATACAGAACAGACTGATGGTTGCCAAAGGGGAGGAGGTTAAACAGTTGGTGAAATGGGTGAAAGGGGTCAATAGGTACAAATTTCCAGTTATAAAATAAATCATAGGGATGAAAAGTACAGCATGGTGACTATGGTTAATAATACTATTATTTGTACTGAATATATTGTCCTAAATATTGCATTATATATATTATTTATATTTTAAAGTTCCTAAGAGGATAAATCTTAAAAGTTCTCATCACAAGAAAAAAAATTTTTTATACCTTTGTATGGTGACAGATGGTAACCAGACCTATTCTGCAGTATATACAAATACTGAATCATTATGTTGTACACCTGAAGCTAATACGGTATATGTCAATTATATCTCAATTTTCGAAAACAAGAAATGGGGATAATAATGTCAACCTCAGAGTGGGTGAACATTATATGAGTTCAATTATGCTAAAACACATTGCATTAAGTTAAATAAGTGGTAGCTTTAATATATGCCATTGGATATTTTCTGTGAAAAAATGGTCTGTGGTTAAAGGACTCTTGGAAATGTTCCATAAGACATCCCCCTTCTCAGAGATTCCCAGGGCACATTAGCATAGTAAAAGCTCTAAAAAGCTCAATGTAAAGGATCCTACTTGTTTTGGCCCAGAATTTCCCCAACCTATTTTTTTTCCAAGCTGACCCTCTCCCCCTTTTTCAATTTAACACTTTTGGGAAACACAATTTTAGTTGCATTTAATTAATAAAGGAAGTCACATTAAATTGTTAAAAACTGAACATGTTTTACTATTTTGCTTTCCCCACAAGCATGTATAATTTAAAAGCAGCAGCCTAGGAGAAATAAAGGCTTCTAACCCAGAGAAAGAATAGTATGCTTTAAAAGCCCAAAGGAAATGAGAAATTTCAGGCAGAAGGAACAGATCAATAATGAGCTATTTTTGGCCATGGAGACTTTTCTAGAATTACAGATTCTTGGAGTTTGACAGTATGTTAAAGTTCAACTCCTTTAAATTCCCACCCAGTGCAGAATTTCCCCTCCAACAGTCCAAACTCCTCTGGCGCATACCCAGCCTCCCCAGTTTTAGGCTGCTCTAGTATTTAAGAAATTCTCCCTCACACAGGGCTGAAATCTGCCTCCTTGGAACCTTCACCCATGACCATGCTAACCAAATTTTGAGTTTTGTGTTTTAGTGAGAGCTGTCCACTTTGGAGATAGCAAATAAAATGCACAGAAATTTTGTGAATCATTACACAGTCTAAAGTAACATGATTATTAATTGAGCAGTAAACTGAAAATAAAAAATTATAGGAAATATGTCAATTATACTTCCATAAAAAAAAGAAGTGTTGGAAACAACATCTTTCATTTTTTCCATCTGTAAATAGGGCAAATATTCAGAAATTCAGCTATACTGTAAGCAATGTATGTAGTATTTACTTTGTAGGAGGAATTATTTTGCAATTGTCAATTTCTGTGAAGAAAAGGGGAATGCATATTTTAAATAATCCCTGTTTTCTTGTCTTTTTAATTTAAAAAATATTTAAAGAGACATTTTTAAAATTTCTTCATCCAAAGCGTATCCCTCCAGCCTCCTTTATTATAAAAACAAATGCTAAATAATTAAAATATAGTGTATGTCTCATAAATAGAGAGCCATATTAACAAAAGCCAATAATAAGAACAGGTGGCATTACCTTTATTTTATAAAAGCACAGCTGTTTGAACCAATATGAAATTCCAAGGCTTTGTATAACTTAAAACCTAAGGAAAACTCCAAGGGGGTAGGTGGAATAGAACTTATATGGAAAGAGAACCACCAGGATCCAGGCTCTTCTAAGAGTTCAAAATCTTTCAGTAAGAAATCAGGGACTTGGCAAAACCACAAAAAAGACAGGCTGTGTTTTTACAGAACAGTCCTTCTAAAGGAGAACCTTCTGGACTCAACCTCATTTTGCATTAAACTTCTGGTTGGTCACATTTTATTTTACTTTATTTTTTTTAGTTGGTCACATTTTAGTACCTGTACCTCATTCTGATACTGTGAGGCAGAAAAGGTTCACATTCCAATTTTTCACTGAAGAAACTGAAGTAAAATCAAAAAACATTTATACTCAACAATACTGAAGCATATCTCAGTACATACTGACATTCCAACAATTGCATGAGCTCAGGGCTACTTGTGTTCTCCTTCCAGTGAAATAATTTCCTACAGTTAGATTCGATAGTATTCTTATTAAAGATAATGGAAAACAAAAAACAGGCCTGTCAAAGAAGAGAGTCAGTATTAGTTAGGACCCACTAATGCTGTCGTTGAACACTGCACAGCTTAATGTGCTCCTAGTTGCGTAAGAATTCTGCATGTAAGTTGGGCTCAACTGGAGTGTCTATTAGAATCTACATACTGACAAAAATCACAGAGGATGTTTTTGTTTTTGTCCTTGAGTCACAGTAGAATTATCACAAATTGCATTGTCTGTTCCTTCCACATGTATTGGGGCAAGTTGTACTGTACCAGGCATTCACAGGCAACAGTTTTTGAGCACCTAATATGAAGCTGAATAAAACCTGGTCCCTGACTTCATGGAACTGGCAGTCAAATGAGAGAAACAGACAAGCAAATCAATAATTTCCATAGAAAGTGACAAGTTCTTTGCTGGAGCCAGGTGCGTGATGCTAGGGGAATGCCGGCAAGGGCAAACAAATCAGATCAGGGAGTGGGAAAAGGCTTCTCAGAGGAGCTGACTTCTAAGCTGTCGGTAGCAGAGTTTAATCATCTCTGACTCTAACTTCAATTCCCAGCACTCAAGTGAGAAAGTACTTCCTGACCCTGCTTTTCTGAATTCTTGACACTGTCATGGCCAGATTTAGTGCCTATGCTCTGAAAAGGAAAGGAAGCAGGGGGTGGATGTGGGGTGGTGTGGAAAGAAGTAGGAGGGAGAGAAAGAGAAAGGAAGGGGAGGGGCGGGGAGAGGTGGGGGAAAGATGGAAAGAGAAACATAGTAAACAAAGAGCAGAACTTAAAAGCTCCACCACGATATACAGGCTCCAAAAGTTGCTAGAGATTGCCAGAGGTAGGAAGGGTGACCACTCTGTGCCTGAGCAGTCTTTGTTCTCAACATGGATGTACAATCTAATCTGTAACCACCCTGTCTCTTTGTCTAGCAACAGGGCATAGGAACGTAGTCTCCTTCTACCCAGGTTAACTTATTAGGCCAAACAACCAGTGGGGTGCTGCCTTTACCACCAGTGAGGGTAGCAAAATGAAGGCACAGCTTCCTGTACTTTCCCGGAAGATGAGGCCAGACTCATTGCCAATTCCACACGGTGACATCTCCAAACAGAATGCACAAAGTACCCCCAAGACTTTCATATTCCCAGAGATGCAACACATCTGTGTGTGACTCCACCCTTGCCTCTTCTGGAATCCCATTCCCCACCTTGGGACTCGGCCAAAATCTGGGGGGAGAAAAAGCATGAATCATTACCTTAGATTGTCTTCCAGGGTCTCCTCATCTGAAGAGAAGGTCCCATTGCTGACACTCCGGGCAGAGTGACTCTTATTCCTTGCTGATGCCTCCTGGGACAATAAAGTGTCTTTCTTTTTCCTCTTAGCAAACAACTTCTTAAAAGGCTGGAATTTACCTCCTTTCTTCTTGTCTGTGGATTATAAGATAAACACACGCTGCAGGTTGACAGGGCTGCACTTCTGAGTCTGAGAGCAAATTACAATTGAGCTGCCTCTGGCCAAGGGAAATGGGGCAAAGGGCAGCCATCAGAGTGAATGAGCGACCAAGCCCTGTGCCAGGAATGACACGGCCAGCCCCAGTCCAGGCTCAGCCAGGCAGAGGCAAGCCAAGGGCACAATAAGTCTGTCACTGGGCTCCCAAGAAGCACCTGGGACGACATGGGAGGGGTTCCAAGCCTCATAGTGGCCACACAGCACCCCCTTGCACATGCCCCACAACGGTGGTACCTGCTTTCTTTAACAAAGCACATGGCCAGAGGCTCCTGAGAGGCTCAGTTGGTTAAGCATCTGACTCTTGCTCAGGTGGTGATCTCATAGCCATGAGATGGAGCCCCAGGTTGGGCTTCATGGTGAGCAAGGAGCCTGCTTGGGATTCTCTTCCTCTCCCTCTCTCTACCCCTCCCCCACTCACTCTCTTTCTAAAGATTAAAAAAAAATAATATTTAAAAACAAAAAAACAAAGCAGATGGCCAGTGCCCTTCTCCACAGAAGAAGCTGCAAACACATGTAAGTCAAAAAGGTGCTTTAAAATTTTTATATACCTTTATATATGTTTCTATTTATGTGTATGTATACACACACACACACACACTCTCTCTCTCTTTCTCTCTCCCCACTGAGAATCACCCAGTTTTAGCTTTTGTTTAGAGACAGAAGATAACTGCTAACTCTTGGCATAAGCTTTGCCCCAAATTCCCTCCATCCCTATATATTTCCAATTTATTTCTCCTGTCTCCTCTCAGAATCTACTATGAAGAGCCCCAAAGGAGTTGCTATGAACATCTTTCCATATATTACTTCATTCATTCAGGACCCAGGCTCAGTGCCAGCATTTCTGACAGATATTTTATGTAATATCTTTCAAGTTTTGCTCCTTCAGTTACAAATTCATCATCACTCCACTCCAACCTCGGGAAAAAAAAGTGTATATCACCTCATACCAGAAGAAGCATCTTTTCAGATCTTTCCTTTTCTTTAAGAAGCTTAAAGAGCCACTTACGCAGTGGTCAATCTTTTTTAAGTTACTTAATCCTTATTATGCATCATTGCTTTAAGAACTTCCTAAATATTAATTCCGTTAATCTTCACAGTGACCCTATAAGGCAGATACTATAAACATCCCCACTTTACAGATGAGGAGCCTGAGGTACAGAGAGATGAAATGACTTGTCTGAGTCATGGGAAATATATCTTAAGCTGGAGTCAGGAGCTCTGAGGGAAAAGAAAAGACGAAAGCTCACAATGTGTATAAAAAAATACCTGCACAAAATGCATAGGTATGAGTCCCCATCTGAGTATCAGGATCTCTGCAGGCCACAGTCTACAGAGAAATCTGGGCAAAAAATGAGGTTAAAGATGTGCAACGTAAGGTAAGCATGTTCTTTCTTCTGGTGATCTTTAGTTCTGGTCTTTCTGAAAGAAAGTCTGAAGTGAGGAAAAAGTGGCTTAAACCACTTTCCCCTAAGCTGTTACCTAAGACACTGAGATAGTAGAGAGAATAGTTACCAGTCACAAAAGGTCAAAAACAGTCTGGGAGCCTTAATATAGGTGCAATGCCTTCAAACTTCAGTGTCCCTGAAATAACAATACCATGTTTAAAAGGAAAGGAGACTTGTTATATCAGATGCCTCCCATCCATAAGGCTTTGTGATAAGCATATAGTCCTCAAAAGAGAGTTTAATTTTTTTCACTGAGTATTATTTAAAAGCCAAGAAAGTGTGTGCAATACAATTGAGATCATAACACTTAAAAATGGTAAAGACAAACAAAACAAACTGGAGGGTTTGATTTCAGAATGTTTGTATGTTTTCAGTGGTTATCAATTCAGGAGTATGAGCCAGAGATTTTCATGACATCTGATTCTGGTTCCCATCAATGGATAATTTTAAAACATTACAATCAGTAATTTTTGAAGACCATCAAAGAACATCAAGCAAGTATTAAATGAATTGACCTTATATAAAATGAGTCAATTAAGAAATTTAAATTTAAAACATTCTGAAAGATGCTACAGGTATTATTATATAACTGGACTGATGAAATAAATGAGTATTTTCTCTACAACTGTCTCAAGCTCAAAAAATGTAAATGACACATGATTTCTAGATTTGTAGCATTATTATAAATGGTCAAATGGTAATTTGTGCTACATTTCACTTATTTCTGAGGTGAAACTCTTTCTTTTTCCTTTTATGTTGACTGTCTTTTTCCCACTACAGAAAGATTTAACCCCTAATTCTCTAATCAGAAATATTCTAGGGGCGTCTGGGTGGCTTAGTTGGTTAAGCTTCCTTCCAACTCTTGATTTCAGCTTAGGTCATGATCTCTCCCTGCATTGGGCTCTACACTGAGTATGTGTAAGATTCTTTTTCTCCCTTTCCCTCTGCCCCTCCCCTGCTCATGCTCTCTCTTTCTCTCAAAAAAGAAAAAGAAAAAAAATATTCTAAAAGACCACAGCAAATTCTAAAAGTATCAGTTATTACATCCTTATCTTCAGTCTGGACCCACAAATCTAGCTTTTAAGCTAAGTAGACAACTTTAGGTTATGTCAGAATTTACGGATAGGGGAAAAAAATCATCACTTGCTGTAAAGTCAAGATAGATTTGGTGGTGTTCAGTTGAGCTGGAACCAAGGGAGTTAACCATAATGAAAGATGAATTAAATTACAGTTTCTTAGAATAACAACAGGTTAGTTGTGTATTAAACTAATGGGTGACTTGCTCTATACAGTCAGCCAAGAAAGGATTATATGGTCCTTTGTATTGCTTCATGCCCAGAATGGTGGCAGCCACCATATAAAGTTGGTCTGCACTGGTCATATTGTTGGGGAAGAGTGAATAGAACGTGGAAGAAGCTGAATACAAAGTCAAGGACAGGATAAAGACGCTCTGGGGAGGACACCAGGATACAGAAACCTTAGCTGGGGAGAACCTGGTGGGCTTCGTGCAAGCACAGCATGGCCTCCTTTTGGCGATCTGTCTGTAGAGTTGGCTCCGTTTAAGGGCTGCTTGTGAACCAGGCACTCTGGCACTCTGCACTGCACATTATATGGGCAATCACTTGGTATGAGTACACAAATATTATCCTGGAAGACGTGTCAAAGTCCAAATGTCAATGCACTTCTCGAGAGTTACTCAGGAAACGCTATTTCGGCAATGCCTTAGTTATTATCACGAGGTGAGAGAACAGTACAACCTACCTGAACTATCCATCCAACAACCAATCCTTCTTACCACGAGAAAGAGAGACTGTAAGTCCTAAGAACAGCAATCTCTCTTCGGAAGAGGAGTCAGAACACAGAAGCTTACAAGTATGCTCCAAAATCTTAGTGTCTGGTCACATCTCAGTTATAAAAAATAAATTTCCACCTCATTTCCAAAATACATTTCCTGTCACAAACATCTTTACATCTGAAATAAAATTTAAATATTTGTTTTTAGGGTTATTTTGCTATTGATTGGGGCAATTAATTAGTTTTCCAGGATTAATTTTATGAAAAGATTCGGGAATGACATTTAGGCCAACACTCCATTCAGACAGTAAACCATAACCAAGCAACATTAATAGGAAATGAAATTTTATAAATCAGAGTTGGAGGTAGACTTGGTTCCTTACCTGACTCTCAAAGTCTGGCATAAGATCTCTCATGTGAATAAAGCAAGTAGCTAAATTTTATGAAACATTTTCAATTCTATGGCATAACAACCATTATGAAAACCTGAGCATGTGCCTATAAATACCCATTAAATAAACTATTTTACGATCAGTTTATGATTTGGGGGCTGCACTGTCTCCACAGACTCAACTGTTAAGTACATGGCATTACCAGCAGCTATTTTCTTCACAGATAACACCAACTCTTCCTGTGACTATTTTTGTACAGATGGGGGTCTAAAAGATCAAAGCAATTCTAATTATGTAGTAAAACAGAACACTTCTGCAATGCTAATGTGAAGTATTCCAAAATACAACTGTCATACATTAGAAGTATATATAGTTTAGCAAAGTATTCTCCAACATTAGCATATTTAAGACAGCATTTTTGGATTTTATAACATAAATGTACTTTTGTTGGGTGCTTGGGACAGTGAGAAGAGGGGAGGGAGAAGGAAGAAATGTTATTCCCACTAAATTTGTTTTGTTGTTTTTTTTGTTTTTGTTTTTTGATTTTTTTTTTACTGGCTACAGCTCTGTTAGGAGTTAAATATGTGGGCCCCAGAGAGAGTGTACTTGGCTCAGATCCTGACCCCATCTCTTACTAGCTATGAAACATCTGCTTACCAGCCTTTCTGGAAATTTACCATCTTAAGTTCTAAGATTGAATTTACAGTAGAAAAGGCAGTGGGTGCCACATTTCCTTAATATTTCCACAATTTTCTTGCAATTTTTCACATGAAAGAACCTATATATGCATGTAGACTGCTTCAGGGATCACAGTAATTTTCATTCTTTAAGTACTGAACTGAATTAATTTATTTTCATCATCTAATAATTACTTTAGGGATTTTTTTCATTTAAAAGAGTACATATTATCCATTATTTCATAGATATAATTACATGCCATTTGATGGCTGCAGCATCATAATTGCTAGTTTATATAGAAGCTTCTAAAAATTAAAAATCACTGAGCAAGTCAAGCAAATCTGATTCATTTTCCATTTGTTATCAGGATGCAATTCTTACATTTTCATTTCTAAACTTAAAATAATAAAAGCATACAATTTATCTGCATTGGATTTATATGGTAAACTTCCAGATGAGAAACAGAATTTTAAAAAATATATTTTTAGAGGGAGTGGGTGTACAAGCAGGGGAGAGGGGCACAGGGAGAGAGAGACAGAATCTCAAGTAGGCTCCACACTAAGCATGGGGGCTCAATTCCACAACCCTGGGATCATGACCTGAGCTGAAGTCAGAGTTGGATGTTCAACAGACTGAGTCACCCAGGTACCCCCAGATTTTTTTTTTTATCATAGTCCATTTTAAGCATCATAAATATCTTGGTCTGACTTTTCTCAGAATGTGCTCTATGGTTGGTATCAGCTTCTTATTCAAAGACCAGTACATTTGAGAATACAGGTAAAATAAAGTTAAATATGTTTCTTTACTATGAAGCTTTTCAGAGTCTTTAATATGCTGATATCGTTACTGCTTCCAAAAAGCAGAGTATATGCAGTGCTTCCCAAAGTTGACTTCCTGGTCTCTGTTGTGACTAGTGTTCCTCTGAACATAGCCCGGGAATCACTTGTCTTCATGACTTCTTTCAAAAAATTTTTAATTTTACTTTTAAGTAATCTCTACATGCGGGGCTTGAACCTACAACCCGAGATCGAGAGTTGCATGCTCTAGCGACTGAACTAGCCAGGTGCCCCCCTTTCAAAAATATTTTATTTTTTTTTTTAGGCACCATGTATTTCATACACAAACCTCCCATACACTCCAGAGTACACTGCTCAGTAAACTCAAGTGGGTTGACTGAAACATTTTGGTTAAATAAACCTAATGTTTTAGGTAAAGTTCTGATTTCAAGCATGTAGGTAAATAGAGTACATTAGGACATGGTACACAGCAACTCTCTGAAATAATTTTCCTAATTTAAGGGTTATTAGCTCTGGAACATCAGGATACTTTTGAGAAGAAACTGTTCTGTTAAAAAAGATGACCAGAAGTACAGTGGTACACAAGCACTTGGTAGCTATCGCGTTTTTATCAGACCCAGTAATCCCAATACATTTCAATACATTTCAACTAAGATGAAGGAGTTGGCAGCATGTCAGGTAGGAGTGCTCTTGTGCCAGTCATGAGAAGACTGTGGACTGAGATTCTATTTCAGAGAGGAGGGAAGGGGTATCGTGGCGGCTGTCAAGTTACATGAGGGAAGACGGAAGAGTTGTCTCCTTTTCTGGGGAAGCACAGAGAGAGGCAGATATTTGCTATTACGTGGATTCAGAATATGAAGAGACAGGATCAATAATACATTTTGAAGAGGGTAGGGGTCCCTGGAACAAATGATGAGAGGCCCAGGGATAGTAGTGAGTGTGGCTTTCACAAGTCAGGGGTCACAGGCAGAGAAGGCAGTGACCAGCCTTTATCAGGGAATAGCAGGTCCTGGACACTTAGGTGGATGGGCTATAGCATATGTTGTGAACTCTGAGCCAGGCCTAGAGCTTGGAATTATTGCTTCCTCAGCAAGAAATGTCATCTTCTTCCTTCTCGACATGATGAAATTCTATTCATCCTTCAAGACCCTATATCCTTGAAGCTTTTCCTAAGCTCAGTGATAACTGACCACACCTTCCTCTGGCTTCGGTGTGCTTTAGTCACACATCTTTTGAGCCACACCATATTTTACGAACTGAACTGGGTCCACTCAAAATTCATATCTTAAAGTCCTAAACCCAAGTACCTCAGAATATGTATTTGGAGACAGAGTCTTTTTAAAAAATGCTTATTTATTTTTTAATAAATAAAGAGTGAGAAAGAGAACACAAGTTGGGGAGGGGCAGAGAGAGAGGAAGACACAGAATCCAAAGCAGGTTCCAGGCTCCAACTTGTCAGCCTAGAGCCTGATGCGAGGCTCAAACTCATGAACTGTGAGATCTTGACCTGTGCTGAGGACAGATGCTTAACCAACTGAGCCACCCAGATCCCCTGGAGACAGAGTCTTCAAAGAGCTAATCAAGGTAAAATGAGGTCATTAGGTGGGCCCTAATCCAATATGACTGGAGTGCTTATAAAAAGAGATTAGGACACAGACACACATAGAGGGAAGACCACATAAGGACACAAGGTAAAGATGGTCATTTACAAGCCAAGGAAAGAAGCCTAAACCAACAGTAATGACACCTTAATTTTAGACTGCTAGCCTCCAAAATTGAGAAAATAAACTGTAGTTTAAGTTACCCATTCTGTAGTGCTTGGCTATGCAGCCCTAGCAAACACCATGTTGTATGATATTAAAGTGGTCACTGGAGATCTTCTATGACTCTGTGCTTTCACGCCTTCACACATGTACTTTTTCTACCTGAAATACCTTTCTGCCTTTGTCTAGAGAACTCCGAACTGTTTCCTCAAACACATTCCAGGTGTTATGTACGCTGGAAAGGCATCCTTGAAGGGACAATGACTCCCTCCTCTGTTCTCCATTTGTGCATGTACAGAAATCTACTGTAATACCACATAGCATGCTCTAGCTCCTAGACTGCAAGTTCCCTGGATATGGGGAACTACACCTTATTTATTCTTCATCTACATCACCCATCGTGATGCCTGACACAATTAAATCACAATGGCTTGGCAGGTCTCTCGGACCTGTTATTTCTCAAAACTACATCATTTTTAATTTTTCTTTTTTTCCCTTTGGTCTGTCTGTCTCAGAATTCCCTTTTACACGTCTTGCAACAATTCACAAGCAAAATCAAATAATACCTAGAAATAGTAACAGAGGCAGATATGATTTCTAATGTGAAGTTTCAGTGTCTGGCCACATTTCTCCCACATGCTAGAAGATGTGTGGGTGCTGGTTCTTTTCACTGCCAAATGTTTCCACTTGAGTTTCAGAAGGTGCTGTGAGTAAAAAATCAGGCTGACTTTGAAGGGAAAATATTGGCACGGGGCACTTCCTGCTATATTACCCTGCATATTTAGCGCAGTAGGACAAAAGCTTTAAGGACATCTGAGGCTGTATTGATCAGGGTTTAATCTGTGAAGCAGAACCAGTAGGAAATAGAGGCAGAATTGCGTGTGTGTGTGTGTGTGTGTGTGTGTGTGTGTGTGTGTATAAGAGACATTAAAAGATTTACTGCGAGGAATTGGCTTCCACCAGGCAGTGGCTGGCTAAGTCAGTCTGAAATCCACAGGGTGGGTCCTCAAGAAGGGCAGACTGGAACTCATGAGCACCAACTGAAGCTACATTTCACAGATGGAATGTCTTCTCTTAGGGAAGCCTCAGCCCTACTTTTAAGGCCTTACAATTTATTGATTCAGGTCCACTTAGATTATTTTGAATAATTTCCTTTACTTAAAGTAAACAGATTATGGACTTTCATTACATCTACAAGATACCTTCCCAGCAACAGTTCAACTATACATTATTTTTATTTGATTAAATAGCTGGGCACTGTAGTCTAGCCAAGCTGACACATCAAAATGATCATCAGACTCCATCCTTTGTCAGCCTGGCACCCATATACAACTCTGTATACCATACTTAATCTCCAAATAAAGTCAACAAGAAAGTCATACTTCCACTAACATGATACAAATAACCCACATACATATGAAAAAACACTGACCCACTCCCCAGAAGAGGATGCAAAGTCCTTAAGTAGTATTCACACTTTTCCTATAACTTACATATTGAGGTATAACCTTATTATTAATGTATCTTACACTATGGAAAGGAGAGGGCAGAAAACAAAAATATTTGGTTAATATATATACAACCATATTCGTTAAAAAATAAGAAAGAAATACCCATAACTATGAGTCCTTGTTTTAGCAACTAGTCATGTGGTCATAGCTTTCTTTATACATATATTTACATGAATATGTGTATACAGTCTTTATATGTATATGTAATCTCTGTAGTTATCTTATTCCTTTCCACATTCCACATTCCTTTTGTCCTTGACAAGGACCTCAGGTGCCTGGTGAGGGGACACAAACCTACATACCTGAAGAACCCAGGCCATTAGCTGTCCTGAATGGGGTTGTTATAGTTTCCTATTACTCCACAGGACCTGGGAGTTTACTAGGAGATGCCATAAAAGAAAGATCTCCTATATTCCACACATGCTCTTCCTTACCTCTATTGTATAGCAGCAGCCCAACTTTCCCTTGATAGTCAGTCTCAATCACTCTGGCCAGTACAGTTACCCCTTCTCTACTTGTTCACTGACAGACACGAGAAGCACAGAGGTTGAGTGATAGTCTCAATTACCAGTTCAATGGAATCACTGTTGTTTCTCCTTGTGGAAACACTCCTGACCCACTGGAACTAAGAACTCTAGACAAGTAAAACCTAAACAAGGGGCTGGGAAGCAAAATTCTTCCTAGGAGGGATACTAGGGGTAAAAGTGATCATTTCTAATTTAGCCCTTTATTCCTGGGCCCGTGAAGCCTGCTTTGAGAGAAACAGTCCCATATACTGGATACTGACTTACACCACAATTGTAGAGGACACATTCCCAGCCCTAGTATTACCACCTAGCTGGCACTATAACTGAGTCTTCTAAAGTCCATCCTACCATTCTACCAAGCCAGCTGCTTCAGAATGATGGGAACGTGGTGAGACCAGTGAAATCCATGAGCACAAGCCTATCAAGTTCCTTGATCAGGAGTGATGTCTATGTTGGGATGCCTGGGTGGCTCAGTTGGTTAAGTGTCTGACTCTTGATTTTGGTTCAGGTCATGATCTCACAATGTGAGACTAAGCCCTGCATGGGGCTGTGCCTGACATCATGGAACCTGCTTGGGATTCTCTCTCTCTTTCTCTCTCTCTCTCTCTGTCTCTCCTCTGCCCCTCCCCTGCTCACACTCTCTCTCTTGAAATAAATAAATATATATTAAGAAAAAAAAAGAAATGATGTCTGTGTCAAATACCATTACAGCAGACAAGGTATTCCATAAGTACACAGATGACAGTTTTGGCAGAAGCATTGCATGCAGAAAAGGCAAATCTGTATCCTGAGTGTCTGTTCTAGAAAGAACAAAGTGCTACTCCTTCCATGATGAAAGTGGTCCAGGGTAATAAGTCTGTACCAGGTAGGTAGCTGTTTATCCCAGGGCATGGTCCCATATTGGGAACTCAAGTGTTGGTCTCTTTTGGCCTTGGCTGGTGAAAGTCAGTGTTGCCAAGCTCATGCATAACTTCCATCCCTGACACTACTGTATTCACAGGCCCATTGACAAGTAGATGGGGAAAGAAAGACTGATAGGTACCCACAGAATGTGTTATTCTATGCACTTGATTATTAAAATCCTTTTGAAGTCATCCTTTAGTTAGCAATCACATGGGACATGAATACTCAAATTCTGTGCCTATTCAGAGAGGTCTACCCACATACCTCTTCTACAGACCTCTTTGTCACCAATTTTCCAACCTTATTCTTTCCAAGTCCCCAACCATCTAAACCATTGGCTACTACCTAGGAACTGTTATAGACTTGTACTTCTGGCCATTTTTCCTTATAAGTAAAGGAACAACCAGAAGCACTGGTGGAAGTTCTGTCCACTTAGAGGATTTCCCTTCATTGTTGTCCTTTGGGGCTGTCCCAGAATGGGGCTATAGCATTATGGCTTCTGAGTGGTATTTCAGTATCATGCAAAACTATCCATAAACCAGGCCTAAATTTTCTTTTCCTCGGTTAACTGGGCATAGAGATCTCCCCATGAGGCCATAGGCACAGGATGGGAGAGAGAGGTATTGTAGCAGGAACGGGGACCATGGGCCACTTCATGTAACTTACTTGTGCCTTCTGGGCCTGTTCAAAACTGATCTTGTATATACTAAACTTCCTTTTGATAACGGAATACTGTGCACACCCAGTTTTATGGCTGGGTGGTTAGACAACACCCAGTTCATCATGGGCAGCTCAAGTCACATGATAACTTGGTGGTGCATGGTGAAGCGTTCAGTGTCTACTAAGCCAAAAGCGGCCTAACATTAGCGAGCCAAAAGCTGTGTCTCAAAGATACATAGATATCTGCGGAGGAAAGCGGGGTTTTGCTCCAAAATCCTGAGTATTTGCTGTGATTCACCTACGGTGCCTGCCAACGGCTCCAAACAGTATCACTCTGGGTCAGTGGCACTCAAACACCACTGGATCTGCTGTCTCAAATGACCCCAATGGCAGAGCAGTTTGCATGGCAGCCTGTACCTGTTACAGAACCTTCTTGTGTTCTGGGCATTACTCAAAACTAGCAGATTTACAGTCACTCGGTAAATAGGCCAGAGTAGCACACACAAAAGAGGAGTATGCTGCCTCCAAAATCCACAGAGGCCTACTAGGTGTTGGCTTCTCTCTGGTGGTAGGATGGGCTAGATGCAACAACTCATCCTTCACTGTAGAAGGGGATTCACAACACACTCCAGGCTATTGGACCCCTAAAATTTCAGTGGGGAATTTCCCATTCTCTGTCTAGTGTAACTTCTACCTCCTGCTTAGCAGGTCCCATCACCATGTTGGCAAACTTTTAGTCTTTGTGATATTATGTGTCAGTGATTTCTTTGAAAAACAAGTTGATTTTTAAAAGATTCAGTATCTCAGTTTGGTACTCTTGAACTAGTAACAATTTTAAAGTCTGGGTGTCTTTACATTAATACTTTCATTAAACTGAGAGCTGGGTGGCACTGATAAACCAGAAATAAGCCCTGAAGAATGTAACATTAGTTGAATAGAGGACATTTAGTAACTTGGGTGGGTAAACTTGGGTTTAACTGGAAATAAGCTAAGTGGTTAGACAGCTAGAAATCATGACAAAAATTGTCATAATTATTAATACAGAGACTCAATAAAGGTTAATGAAATAATTATTTAGTTATAGATTTCAGAATGATTTGATTCACTAATAATTTTTTTAGACCTAGGAGCAGTGCAATCTTAGTTCCTGTTGGATAGAAGGGGAGTTTGAGGTCAATTTCTCAAACTATGCTTACACACATAAAAGTTCTTAGAAAGAATAGAAGTCACTAGTTCTATTATGTGAACATCAGTTCTTAATATATTTAGTTGAAATTCTTGATGACACCAGTGGCAAGTGGACGAAGGTCGTGACATTGACATGCCTTAGATGCATCAGGCAAAGTGCTTGTTGCTTGTGTAGATGGCCTATGGAATACAGACCCTCCTGGGAGCAGAATGAAACTATGAGTGTTCAGATGGAACAGAAATAAGAACTCCCCAGTCCTCTGTGTCTACCTATGGTACGAGCTACCTGGATACCATTTCTGAGAATAGGGGGGAAAAAACCAGTTTGCAAAGATTAAAAAAAAAATCTAGCCTATTTCAGGATTCCAGAATATGTCAGACAGTCCTCTCAGGCTATCTTTCTTGATCTGAATCCCATTCTCTTCTCCTTGATACTAAGTTTATTTCTTTTGCACCTTATTCTGTTCTCACTGGAGAGCTCTGGGCAGGGCTGGCGCCATTCTTTCAGGATCACTGACCTCCCCCCGGGTTTCTCATTCCGAGACTAAATCTTGGACAACAACTCAGATAACAGATTCACTCTGGAACTGTACCATTCTAGGGAGAAACACAATAACAACAAAAATACAACCACTCTAGCAGTTTTGTAGAACTCTTCCATTAACTCGTGCACTAGACACTGGTGGAATAAATGGCAATCCAATTCTGAGATTCTAAGGGTCAGTGATTTAATTTTCCACCTGTACCTTGGATGTGATACCTCTCTAACCAGTAACCACTGGTCTGTGTGATACGGAAGTAGCTGTCCTTGTCCTTTCATGGTTGGGAATCACGTTTCTAAGGGTAATCTAGGTTTTGTAGTGACAGGTGTCTTAGAAATGCAAACATTTGTCACACAACTCACTCTCAGAAGTAAGTCACTTGAAGGAGTCACAGGAGCTCCACAACTAACACCAGGAAATCTTGCAAAGGTTACTACTAAACTATAAACACTGTGGCTAAATGTGGCCCTTCTGGGCAAATATTGCTACTTCTTGTTTGTTTGTCTGTTCTGGCATCACCAAGTCCAACAGTGGCTACAACTATGACATTTTTGTTTGCTGTTCCTTAGCAACAAGGAAAAATGCTCTTCATTTCAAGAGGTTATGTGACTATGGGGAAATTGACCCAAAAGTCTTGAAGATCTGGGTTTACTTAGTCACCTTTACCATTTGCTAGTTTCTTGGGACCTCAATTTCCACATCTATAAAATGAGGTGATTAACCTATATACCACCTAAGGTTCCTAATTCTAAAATTCTATGAACTGGTTCCTTAAAAAGCAAGGCAAGTTTGGAAAATATTCTAGTTCATAAAACTTGTAACTCTTTTCGTAAATTACCTATTACTTATATTCATTATGTTTTCTCTATTCCTATTTTGTCTGAAAATGATGCTGGTTTTGTTACCACAATGTCTACTTAGTAAAATTAAGGACCTCTGGTTCTTAGGAGAGACAATAACATAGTCTGAAAGTTGGTAAGAGAACCAAATCATTCTGTCTCTTTGTGTCAGTGTCCAGGTCCCTATTCCTAGGAATGGCAATGCTGATGAAGAAGGAACCTAGAATTTAGATCCTAAATCCCTATCACCTCATTGCCATCCTCATTGTCTGACTCAGTGAAGTTTTCTAAGAAAGGTAACTACTGTGTGAGCCTCAAATCTGAGCAGTAGCTGTCTGATTTTCTTGATGTCTTGTATATTCAGGAATGTATGCTCCACCTGGATTCTTACTCCATCTAGTAACCTTATAACTTCACATCCTGTCTAGAAAAGTCAGCCCATCTATGAAGAAGCAGCACTATTTTGTCCAACAGAAGTCAGTGCTATCTATACAAGAACCCTGTTTTCCACTGTGTTTAGTGCAGATCCAAGACTATGACTGATAAACAAATATTTACTTCCATCCTACTGTGTATAAAGCACTGAACTAGCCCTGACATATCACAGGAATTATTGAGTTCCTGACACCTGCTAATACTCAAAATTTAGGAGGAGAGTAAGTTTTTTTTTTTTTTTAATTTACAAAATTTTCAACATTCAGGCCTCCTATGAGAAAGATTTGTGGAGTGTTACTAGGAGAAAATCCCCTGGTAGCAGCTAATGGGCCTCTCTCTACCTGATGATCCACAGGTAGTGTTGGTGACCATGAAGGTGGTATGTGTGTGTACTGGGGACAAGCTGAAGAAGATGTAAAGTCTTCTGCTGAGGGCATGTGAAGCCCAGGGAGGTCTGGACTAAGGGGAATCCTCAGGCTGGTGTCTTTCAAGTAATGGGCAAAAGCCCATTTAGGAGACGGTCTGATCAATTTAGCGGGCTGTACCAAAAGTCCTCTAAAACTAAGTAGAAAAGGAGAGAATAATGTTGAACACAAAACAGAGTGAGCTCTATTTCATGAAACTTGTTTCTAGTTTATGTAGGTGTGCTTATAAGTGTCTGTATACACAACTTGATACACACATATGTTCTGATATAAAACATACTTCTTGCTCTAGATCACGTCAAAACTACTTGAGAAATGCTAATCAAGAAAAACTGCCTTTTTTCTAAGTAAGTTAGACATTTAGATGCAAGAGTCAACAACCATTTGTCAATGCAAGCCATTGCATATGTGGCACTCACCTTGGCTAAAGGAGATGAGAAGTGCTGCCTGCAAGAACAAG